GAAAAAAAAATTTTTTTCTTTTTTTATAATTAAAAATGAAAGCAATATCTTATCGAAATATTGATAAAATGTATAATTGAATCAAAATTGTTTTGAAAACATATTTATTTTGTAAACAATAATGTAAGTAAATGAATGATGATATCTTCGAATAATGAATGAATTAACCAATCAATAACCCAAAATAAGTAGAACGTTTTCAGTTCATTCGTGTCGAATTCTTAGCATCGAACACCGTTGTTTATGTATTAATAATCAAGTTAACGTTATAGTCGGACAAGGCCAATTAGTTGAAGCTTTACATTCAACACACAATACTTTATCTGTCTTCGATAGGAGACATAAAATATTTACTATATTTACTTATGTATGTTCAACATATTTTTGAGAAACATTTATTTGAAGGACAGGTCTACACGTGATGAAAATTTGCTACAGTCAATGCTTTCGGCTTTACGGGGTTTCTTCAAAAAATACCAAAAACTTGATCATGTTATCTTAAAAAGGTTTACTCTCTTTACGAGAATCATTGCATAGGGAGGGGTCCACAAAGTATATCTGTGTAGGTGAGATTGCTATTCCGAACCGAGTTTTCTCTTTTTGCATGGAAGAGAGGATTCAATAAGTGATTTCAGCTCATCAACAATTTTCTGCTCTCATTTAGTTATCATTTTTGATTGAAAAGGATTAAAACGGGGAAAGCTTTTTCTGTATAACGTTTTCTTAGAAATGGAGCTTTCGCAAGATTTCATTAAAATATTTCGAAAAATTCCTACTTGTAAGTGTAAATACTACAGTACTAGTGGAAAAAATTAAATGTGCATACAGACGGACAAGTTCAAAACGAACTTTCATTCGAAACGTTTCCTTTAAAACTCCGATATCCTCTAATCGAAGATTGTAATGATTTTAAAAACCAACTAAAAGTAAAAATTAAAGTCTTCACAAGGAATAGATATCATACATATCAGTATCCTGAGTCACCTTATTTATAAAGATTAGTCCATCTGTCCCTCGGTTCTTGAAATTCTCAAACTCCAAAGGTAGAACAACAACGTACAACTTTTGCATGTATATTGTTAATTAAATTCCGCAAATTGTATTTGAAAATCGACATGCTCTGTCTAAAAACTTGTAATGATTACCAGACCAAAAAAAATGGAAGAAGTAGATATATATTTGTAGTATCAACTCGGAATTGGGTTGTTTTCAAATTTGAGCAACTTTCAAAAGTCGAAAGAGATTTTTGAATAATTACTGTCGTAGAATTTGAACACTACCTTCGGCAATTAATATCACGCATGCGGCAAGTCTCAATTAATCGCCCTTCTTAGCCAATATTGGGAACTTTGGAAGTGTTTATGCTGCGTAGATCCTAACGCAAAAAACGCCAAGAAATGTATATTTAATTATCGTAGCACTTTAGAATTCGATTATATCAAAACCCAAATAACTTTCAAAATTAGAATAACTTTTAAAACTCAAACAAATGAATTGATCTATATTTTTGTTTCAAATATTGAATGTCAGTGTGATCCTCGGCAAGCCGAATTGACTGCAGGAAATCACCTGAATTGTCTGCCGAATTGATGCATACCTTGCATGCCTTGGCTATGAGGAACTAAGTACAAAAAATTGCTAAGAACTCATATCTTGACAAGAGCACGTTCAATAAGAATTCAAACATGTCAGAACTTTTCAAAACAGGAATATTTTCCAAAATGTGAGCAAAACCCAAGTAAACGAAAGCTCTCAATACTTAAACAGGTCGAACATTGCATTTCCAATTGCATTTTCATGTAACGTGGGTCCAGGGAATCGAACTCTACAATGCAAGCCGAACGCTTAAACTTAAACTTAAATGCTTGATGAGGTTCATCATTTAATTACTAAATACTAAAAACTGGCTCCACGTTTTTTTTTTTTTTCTTACTATTACCAATAAACAAATCTGTCGAATATTGAGTCTAATAGACACTCAAAGAGAGATGATTAAGAATAAAAATACACGAATTTCGTTTATCTGTTTGTTAAAATAATCTTAAATACATATTAGCTGTATTGGCACGTTCGTAGGCAATATAAAAATTTCCGGCCGATCTCTATTAATAGAGAGAAATCGCAAAAGGCAACGCAGAAGGTGTGCTCCATTTCTATAGGTTATATTAGAAAAGTAAAATAGTTACGAAGAAGAACGAAGAACTCTGAAATATTTTTCTTTCTTTTACAATCTGAAAATGAACAGAAAATCAAACGCATAAACCTAGCAATTTCAGTTTGAGCGAATTGATTAGGAAAAAATAATTTTTTCCTCATACAAAGTAAATGATAAAATAAATCACCAAAAAAACGCAATTTCAGTGAAATTACCTTGAAATCGCTGAGTTTACTTCTCTCTTTTAGTGCACCTTACTGGTTGACTTGGCAGCATTGCTGTATTTGCGTGTGTTTGTTTGATCAACGAAATAAAAAAAAAGATGAATGGGATAATATAAAAAGAAAATAAAAATATTGTAGAAAAGCCCTACACATGGCAAATACATCATCTAAGGAAAATTGCTTTAGACAGCTAAAAGCATAAGCGGCTAATTCCTTTAATGGTCAACAACTTTTTTCCTTTTTTTTTTTAATTTTCACTACTCACTATACGTATAATTGAAAACACACCGCACCTTCATATAATAAAATTTTTTACTTAGACCATTTGTATGTGTGCAAGCACCTCTGTTGGCAAAGAAAAGTCATAGAACGAAATCACAAAAATCAGGCTTAGTGTAATAGTCGCATGAGAGTTATTTTTTTAAACGAGATAAAATTTTTTCATATTGCCTTTGAAAAGGAATCCGAATCATAAATCAAATTGAAAATTTTTCAATACGGGTTATGGGTTCGACGCTTCGCCATAATCAATTAAGTGATTATAGTTGAGAGGATTTGGGAAATCAAAATTTTCGAGAAGGGAACTTGCTAATCACCCTCGCTTACAACCTTCTTTCCGCGGGGGTCTAATACATACAATTTTCGACAAGTAAAAAAATTATATTCGGCTTTGTATTAAAAAAAAAAAAAAATTCCTTGCTCTTTAACATTAGGTGGGCGTTGCCAAAGTCTTCACTTTAGCACAGGTACTGTAGGATTATCTGCGTAATATACGTGGGCATTTTTATTATTACGTCACATCTAGTTTATGAACAGCGAACAACAACAAAGCAAAGGTTCAGTTTACGTTCTACTGCAAACATGTCGTTTCCAATACCAAGCTATGGTATCTCTAAGCTTACTATCGTAGAATGTATGACAATTCCTACACAGCATCTTAAGATAATTTTACTTTATATTATTGTTGCTTTTACAGTTTGCATTCTAATGAACGAATATTTCAATCTTTTACCATCAGGTTATGAGCCGCATAAAAATGAAAAAGACAAAAACTTGGTTTAAATTCACTCTGTCTTTTTCCTAAAATATTTTTTTTATTATTCTTCGTCAAGAGTACATCGGCATCATTTGGAGGTAGATTTCCCACTGAGAAACTCCAAAGTAGCGAGATACACATTTAAGAAGGAAAGCAAAATGTTACTTGGTAATCAAAATTAGCTGATATGTTATAGAACATATCGCAACCAATGGAAAAAAGACAGACTTAAATGAACGTACACTTGCGGAAATTACATTAACGATAAGTGCTTGGAATTACGGCCGCGCTTCTACTGTTAAGATGCCAAAGGCGACATGGGATGCCTTCGTGGGTCTTTAGTAAGTCGAGAATTTTAACGGAAAGTTAGGATTAGAATTTGGTACCTCACGATGCAAGTTTGATACGAAAGAAGAAATAAAAGAGCTTTACACTCAAAAAAACTGCGAAAACGATATGAATAATGTAAAAATGTCGACCATATCTCTAGGAACTATCTCAATAAACCCACAAGAAGAATATACAATTAAATTCGGTCGTGACGAAATCTGTCATACCCTTCACCGTTGTCCTAAGAAAGATACAAAAAAAAATAAATTTTCGTGCTTTACAATATGATATTCACTGAGAACTAAGCACGTAAGTAGTCACAAAAGCTAAATTTGTATGTCAATAAATCGAATGCAGTGAGGTAGAAATAAAATGCTTGTCAAGTATGAAAATGATTGCCGAACCGTATTATGAAGGACAAATTATCTAAAGAGTAAATCGGAACTTGGATAATTTGTGTTTCCTTCCCTTGATTAGCTTCTTGAATTTTCCTAAATGTAGAAATTGGCGGTACAGGGAAGGCTTTGTCGAATGTATATTCGAATGATTCCTACATAGTGGTTTAAAACATAACTTTGCCCTGTTTAACCCATGCACTGCTTTTATATTGCCTTATCCTTCCTTTCACATTTTGCAATTCAATAAATAATTCAATCAACAGACAGTTAGGGGGACGTTTGTAGAGAGATGTAGAATTTAACATGATTTGATTGATAGTGTCAAGTATATGTATACTTTATTCTTACTTTTTCCAATGGTGCATATTTCGGTGGCATATGCATGAACACAAAAGTGGCCTTATGCGATTTATTGACTGTGCTTGCTTTCTTATATGATAGACTACGCGTAGACGAACATGAAATTTTAACGATAACATTTATATTTTTGACCTAATTGGACGTCATATGGAATTGCCGAGGATATATCTACTACGACCGACGATATATCTATTAGTTACTAAGTATTTTTAAAATTTCGCAGACGCCTTTCTTGGTTGTTATTACGCAAGGACTAGCAAAATAAAATATGAGCAAAAAGTAAAAGTTCAGGTAACTGTAGACTTAAAAAATTATCTTTTAAACGACTATGGGGCAGATTGTTTTCTCAGAAAAATTTTACTTGAATTAACTTTATAATTTTACCGAATTGTATACTTAAATTTATTTGTATTTTTTTTTTTTTTTTTTTATGTTTTGATTTTTGATATTTGCGTTTACTTTTAAAGTTTTTTTTTTTTTTCTTCTTTCTAACTCACCAAATTGTGTTTCATCCAGTAAAGTTTTTTTTATCTCATGGCCATCGTCACTGCTGCCGCCACCGCTATCTATAGTCTCTAATTCGGTTCGTCGAGGTGGCTTTTCTACGGGATTAACTTCTGTCAGCAGACTTTTTTGCATTTCCATAATAACGGAGCCTTCTAGCATAGAACTATTGTGAGTTTTGTCTAACTTGGAAGAAATTAAACCATTTTCACTTAGCATGGTCGAATCCTTTTGATAAGTTTTAATTCGACGGCAATACCAACAGATGACAAGCACCACAACAATTAATAATAACAATAATGTGATTACAATCAGACAAATGACGAGCAAAATGTTTGATTGGGAATCAGTTTGCACTGTTCCTATTCCACCGACACCACTCATGCCGCCAGTGCCATCTAAAGCGCTATAATAATCGCCGTTGACGAGTAGTTGAAATTCAGCTTCTGCTCGACCACCACGGTTATCTGCTATGCATGTATAAGAACCTTTATCGGAAGAGCGTACTCCAAAAATGCGCAGTTCTGAATTGAAAGTGTTGGCATTCTCTGTACGATGTTGTTCAGCTGAGTTCAAAATACGAAAGCGCGGATCATTGGGATTGATGGCGCGTTTATTGTACAGCCAAGTAACATTTGGTCGCGGCGAGCCCTCTATGCGACACGGCAGTGTAATGTTATCCGATTGAGCTTCGACAAAAGAACGAACGGAGCCCAAAATGCGTGGTTTGCAGGCGAAATTCTCCGAGGGCACTTCATTCCACAATTTAGCGCTTAATTGTGGCGGCTCGTTGCAGTCGGTAGGCGGAGTGTACAGGCGATTAGCTATGGCAAAATCGCGAAACTCTTGAAGCTCGCATGTACAGTTCCAACGATTCGCAGCCAAGGAGAGATGTATCAATTTTGGCATATATAAAAACGTCTCCTTACTCAGTACTGTCAGATGATTTGATTCTAAGTAAACAGATTTTAAAACTGGCAACTGAGTGAAAGCGTGTATCTCTACACGTTTGAGACGATTATCTTTAAATTCTACACGCGATAGAAATGGCAAATCGGCAAATAGATAATTCTCCAAAATCTCGATTTGATTATTATTCATAACTAAATTACGCAACTTAGCCAATCCTTTGAAAGTGCCCACATGCAGTACTTTAATGAAATTATGCGATAAATCCAATTCGATGAGTATAGGTAAGCCTTTTAAGGCATCGCGATTTACTGCCTGTATGGTGCAATTCTTGAGAAAAATTTTATGTAAGTTTTGTATATTTGCTTCAATAAACTCTTCTCTGCGCAGTTCGGGTATTATGTTATGCGAGAAGTCAATAACTTGTAGCTCACTACTCAGGTCATCAGGTATTGCAGTTATTGTTAAATTTTTGCAATCTGCTGTCTTCTTACCCGAATTCCAATTACAATGGCAAACGCCGCAGTTTTGCATCCAATCTGAGTCGCCATCTGCAGATTGTATGCACAAAAACATAATAACAATAAAACAAAGCTTCGTAAGCCAGTGTTGATGGCAATACTCTGACATCTCGGTTTGCCTTATGCGGGTCATTAATGGTCTTGGGTGTTGTTCTTGACTAAAAGTCATAATAGTTGCACAGTTTATGCTGATGTTAGTAAGCGGTTGACGAAGGCGATGGAGGGCTTGCTTTTTGTTTTGTTCCTATTTTTCTTTTTGCTTCCTATTTTTTTTTTTTTTTTTTTGGTTATCTTGGTTTCACTGACAGACGTTTATGATGTGCACGCGTAAGCAGCAACTTACCTAATTAAAATTTTTTTGTGTGTATGCGTGTGTTAGCCGGTATTTGTCTTTCTACCCCTGCTTGTGCACGGTGCTACAAATTCCCACAATCATACAGACACACATCCAGGCGAGTGTACGTATATATATATATATATAGGTATATATACGAAAACAGTTAATGAATTATCGGTGTTGTTCCGTTAAATCGCTTGAACCTACAAAAGGCCGCAAATGTAAGGACCTTTTGTTATGCTCTATAATTTTGGTATGTTATGTAAAGCCTTAGGCCTGTTAATTTCTTATTACATGAAAACGTTACTTTGCTTATCAGGCAGACATGCAACAGTATTTGCAGTTAACGATGCTGTTAATGATGATAACGATGATGGCGATGATGACAATGGTAATTATTACGACAATAATAACGCTATTGCTATTGCTTATGTCGTATACTTGTTATTAATTAATATTTTCCTTGTTGTTCTTGTTGCTGTTAATGCTGCCGCTTTCACTGTTATTTGTATGATTGCCGTTGGTCTTGTTAGTGTCGACACTCCTTTAAATGTCAGCATTTGGTTAAGGATTTACAGTCCGCAATTAGCCCAACAACAGTACACTTATTGCGAGAAGCCACAAGAGCATTAAACGAAGCCGTCACTGTAATGGTAAAGAAGCAACAGTAAAATAATGAAATTAAATAAAATCGCTAATGAAATCAGGCGATACTCGCCTGAACAACAATCTAACTTGCAATTATAAAAACGAGAAATGAAATTTTCATTTTCTACTTAATGACACAACATTAAAATATCATTCAAGGCACCATCATCCTAAAAATATGCTACAGGAAAGCATTACATTCGGATTCGTTGCTCATCAACTTATATTTTTGTCGGGTAATTTTTCACACAAAGACCAAAATAAATAATTAAAAATAAATAAAATAAAAAAAAATGTATATATGCAAATAATATCATATATATAATAATTTTTATAATCGGGAATCTAAATGATAAAAAATATAATTATTACCATTTGTTTCTGACATTTGCAAAACATATCCATTCGCCTGTATGTCTTTTCATCTTTTTGATTATTCAAATTTTTAAAGTCCTAAGTTTTGAATCTACACTTACCCTACCCATCACTAATAATTTTATTCAAGAGAAAAAATAATCATGGAAGGAGAAATATTGGACTTGGACTAATCTTTCAATAGTCATATCTATGTTATCCTATTGTTGATAAAACAAGATAGATTGCAGATCCTCTCTCTAAGAAAAAATTGTACACCTATTCTTTGATATAAGATTTTGATCAAGTCAAGCCGCGCGTCGTACATTAATAACACGGACAAATTCATTTCGCAACTCATTTCAAAGAAGATTATATGTTACGTAGTACCAACTATCACAAATATTTTGTATAATGTCCATAATCCTTTTTTCTTTGTATGTAATAAGAAAAAAAAATAAATAAAGAAAAATGAGATCACTAGGAAGCAAGTTAAGGAAAGTAGATAAACGATTCTATTTAAATTTTTTGGAATTTGAAATAAGAATAAAAAGCAAAGTAATTAAATTTAATAGATAAGAGAAGGTTTGCCTGAAGGCGGGTATAGCTTTCTTATTCGCCGTAATATCAACACAAACTGACCTTTCTACATCATTTTGATTGCTTTGTTGTTTATGATCTGTCGTTTACTATTGCAACAATGGTTTTTATCACTGCTCTTGGTTTTTGGTTTTATGAAAAATTACAAACCTATAATAAATGACCTGATTTCTATTGTGCTGTAAACATTGTGTCTCTGACGGCATGAGGTCATGTTTAATCAGTTTGTTTTTTTTTTTTTCTGCTGTTTTTTATTCTCTCTCTTTCTTACTTTTACTGGAAAATCTTAATTTGTCATAGATTCTCAAATGGCTGTCATCCTGATTTCGGTCCGGCGTTTATGCGGTGAGAGTATAATTACTGCTGAATAAACAAAATTTCCCTGAAGGGAATTTAATGCCAAGTAATCTGTAAAATTGAAAATTAAATGTCAACTGTTTTATGTCTTCTACTTTGTAACCTTTTTATCTCTATTTTTCTCTCTCTCTCTCTCTCTCTCTCTCTCTCTGTGTGTCTTTCTCACTAAATGTTAAAACAATTACTGCAGTACGCAATTAGTTGACGGTGATAATTTCTAGATTATCTATTTATTATCTATTATTATTTAACTAAGGAGTGGAATTTCAATTTAACTCAACTATTAATGTAAATAATAATAACTTTTATTAGTAAGCAGTTCAACAGGTGCATTGCAATAGATTTTTCAATTTTCTTCAATAAATTTCTCTTTGTCTTTCAATGAAATTTCTATTATCATAATTAGAGGACGGTAAATAAAGTTTAATTTGGAAAGAATAGTCTTAGCGTCCTCAATAAAAGTGTATTCGTACCGAAAATATATGCTTTCCGAGTACGAATCAACTTAGTTCTCGTTCATTTAGTCTTTTTATTTCAGGGTGATGGTAAAAGTAAGTATATATTGTCCCTATCTTAAAAAAAACAAAGAAATGAAATCTATGCCGAAACGGCCCTGTATACAAAAAGCCCATAGCAAATGTCGCATTTGGTGAATAAAGCGATAAGGGTGTTACGTCTCAGGTCAGTGCTGCTAACGTTTTCTTGATTAGGCCGTAACATTGATTGAGATTTGACTCAATTGCATCGGTTTGTTGTTGGTAGGATTAATTTTTTGATGATTTCGTTTGGTTGGAGTAATCCATAATGTAGTGCATCTAACAAAATGGCCTGCTAGGGATGCTAAGGGTTAGCGTAGCTTACGCCATAATTGCATGCGCTTTGCACATTGTAGAGGAAATTATTATTCATCACTCTTTTATGATTCAGCAAGCTTTTTCTTTGAATTGAAAAGTACAACCTGACGAATCGAAGTCAGCTCATTTCGAACTGCCATAAATTATACTATTTACAGTTGAAAGGGGTTGATTTTAACTTTTGCGTAAAGTTAAAAAATGACCCCTTCGCATGGAAGTCGCTGACAGATAAATGTCATCTCTTCACAAATGTCGTTCAGCATCTCTTTCTATACCAAAGAAAGTAATATTTTGGTATTTTTACATATCGTAAGGGAAATTATAAATAAGTTGACTACTTTGAGTACTTTTATCTTAAAAAAAAATAAAAATTCCAATATTTCACATGGCCGATTTTTTAATTTATTTTTAGGATAGTCTATAGAACTTACAAACTAATTTTTTTTTAGTTCTCAAAAGTAAAACTGTGCTCAGGTTATTCTGTACTGGTCAGCTCTTTGATCGATTTGGCTCGCTTTTAGTATCAAATTTTTGCCAAATTAATTTTTACTACATGAAGTACGCTGACCACAAGAAGATCGATAGACATACCTATATTTATTCAGAAGTCAATTCTTACGATGAGTGTCAATTCTTACGATGAAGCCAAGGAATAACTCAACTCGCATATTATTTCGAACTATGAGTTCTGCTGAACAATTGGAAGAATAACATGACTTCATATTGTTACTTATGCAATTTTTTTACAGAAAAACGTCAATTGGTTAAAAATAATTGAAGCCCATGTAATACTTCATTTCTATAATTCATTTAAATCCAGATTTCACTTGCCCGTCTCTGAGTGTTTCAGTAATAAATTTCGTACCATCCAAGTTAAACTTCACCGTGAACACTCTGTACCAAACCTTTTAAGAAGCAAATTCAAAGGTTGCCTTGTCGGAGGTTATGCTATTAACAGCTATTGTTTAAACTATCATCAATTTCTCGTTTGCGGTCACAGTTAAAGATAATAGACTTTTATGAGTTTAGATATTTAACTGATTTAGAAAACATATAAATTCAGAGGTGCTTGGATAAATTAAATCTTGCGTGAAATGTATTAGCACACCCTAAAACTTCATATAGGATACTGGGTATAATCCCAATATTCCCAATATCAATTTTTTAGTCACAATGAACGTATCAGCGAAAAGTTTATATGAACATGTACAGAAATTATTTTAGAAAACCATGAACCGAATAACAAATTATTTTTTTCTCAGCACAACTGTTTTGATGTGTAATCACATATATATAATTAGTTGATTAAACTTTTGCTCGCGTTCGATATTTTAGCATGATTCGATACCCTGAAAAAAAGAATAACAACGAGGATGACACTTAAGTCCAACTATCGACTGCGTTTTATCCCTCGACTTTATGGGAACTAAGGTAGGTAGAAAGATTAAACAAAAGGTCCGTGCTTCAGAGGTATGTTTTTAATACTCTACCGACCGATAGTTCCTCGCCGACCCGAGTTGTTAATAATTTTAACCCATATTATCTTTTGAAAATGTATTAAACTGAAAAGGATTGCAGTCGATAAAATAAATCCAAAATTTGCACTACGATCATGAAAATAAAAGATTTTGTTAAGTCCAAATAAAGCGGGAAATTTTATTTGAGCATAAGAAAAGTGCAGATATTTCCCGCGATAGTTGAAGCCACAGCAGAGCCGATGCCAGGGAGCACCTTCAATATGCGGGCAGGTCGTTAAAGTCGCTAAAGCGAAAAATAACTTCTTTTGCTCTCCCCTAGGAAATTATAAGGGAATAAAATTAGTCTCCTTAATATTACCTTGTATTACGTTGTCTCTTTTTTTTTAAAAATAAATTGTACCCTTTTTTAATATTTGCGTTAACTTTAAAAACATGCCCTATTCAAATACAGTTATGAAGATTTTAAGCTGTCAAGTTGGTTATATAACAAAAAAAAAAACAAAAACCCTGATGATTTGCATTGTTTATATCTAGGCGTTGACCGTTTAGGTTT